GGGGGCGCGCCGCTCCCGGGCTCCCAACCTCCGCCGCAAGCGCCAGGCCGGGGGACGGGGGGGGGGAACAAAAAAGCCACCCCCCCCGGGCTGTTCCCGGGCTGCCGCCTTGGGGGAGGCGCAGGGGCCGCTTCGTCGAGCCGCGCTGCGCACATCGGGAGAAGGGCTTCGTTTATTCACTTTGCGGGGAGGGTCCCCGCGAGGCCACCCCGGCGACCCTCCAGAAGAAGGTCCAGACCCTTCACAGACTTCCCGGACGGCTCCCTCCTGTCCTTCTCCCCTCGGGTCTCCCTCTTTCGCCGCCGGCTGCCTTCGGCTTTTTCCCAGCCGGTCTTCTTGCCTCCTCGTGAGACGCCCCAACAAAGCACCACAGCCTCAGCTCCATCGTCTTTGCCTCGGGCAGCCAGTTCAGGCCTGATCAGATATCGAACACACACGGGTTGGTTTTTCTGGCCGTCCAGGATCTCCAGAAAGCTCCCTCCCCCCCCCTCCGGCACCATATTTACAAGCCGAGGTTGGTAATGAGCCAATCCGGTTTCCATTTGGCCCTTCGGGAGGATCCCGTTTGGTGTCGGTTTTGTCTGTGCCCTCTTGCTTTTCAGGACCAGCCTGGGAGGCTCGGATCAGGGCCGAAGGGAAGAGGGAGTCCTGCTCTCCGGCACCACACAGGCCTTGGGGGCAGTGAAATGGGGGTGAGGGGGGGGGTCCTTGAGTTGGGCAGCTGGGCTAATCTGCTAGGACGGCATCACTTCAGGTGAGGAAACCGCTAACAAAGGACCGAGGCTTGTCCTCCTCTGGGCCCATCCTGAGAAGACAAGAGGCTCTGGAAAAGACCATGATGCCAGGAAAGTTGGAAGGCGACCAGGAAAGAGGGATACCAAGCATGAGACGCACTGAGTTTGAGTTTGCGGGATCTGAGCAGGGCCTTTGAGGATAGGCTATGCTGGCGTTTGCTGATTCATAGGAGCGCTGTGACTTGAAGGCAACTACACAGGACCTAACAAGAACAACAGCAACGAAGCCGAATCCATTGCTTTCACCGGATGGCTGGGAAGTTCTTCCTAACGTTGGGTCAATCCCACCTTCTCTTTCTCTGAACCCCTTGATTTTGCCCCCCACACACACACACACACTCCAGAGCAAAATATCCAGATGTGGCTACCACGTCATCCTTTCATCTTCTCCAGGCTAAACCTATTCAGTGTCTTCATCTTCCTTTCCTTGCGGGTTCGGTTTCCAGGCTCTCGCCCACCTTGCTGGTATGCTCTGCTGTTGTAGCAATACGAATCTCAATTCTTCAGAAAACAGAACCCTCTAGTTTATGAATGTGGGGTATTGGGCTTCTGGACCCACAGTTCAAAAAGCCAGGAAAGGGCCTGAGACGGCTGCACAATATAATACTGATGTTGCCAGCAGGGAAAAGGAGGCCAAGATTTACCTAGCCAAGGGCAGCCAGGAGGTGGGCAACCCCAATGGCCAGCCAGTGAGATGGGTATACCCTTTTCTGCTCATGGCCATTCACAAAGTGACACAATGGAAGGGGAAATCCCAAACGCTGACTCATTTTTTAATCGGTTAACCACTTTTTTTTTCTATGCACTTCTCACAAAGCAATTGTCAGGGCTGTTTTTCAACCAATGACTGGTAGTGAGCAGAAGAGGGTGTCTTATGGATCAGCCATTCTCAACCGGAGTCCAAGGGTTCCCTGAGCAGTCCTGCCACATTTGAAGGGGATCCCACAGAATGGAAAGAATTCTTCACCCACCACCTTCTAAGGTTTGTTATGGGACTTACACAATCCTGTGTATAGGGCTGTGGCAAAAAAAAAAGGTTTACAATGGCTGCTATCTTGTCTCCTGACAATAATGTTGTCAACATTATTCTGTATTTGGTTGACAATAACTTTAAAAATATATTTACACCAGACATAGAAATTCTCTTAAATGTCTGTGTGGACAGGAATGAGTTAAAACGTTCTCCTCCTGAGAGTCAGTCCGGTCCTGACTGGCAGGGTCACAAGTTTTTTTAAAAAAACATTTTATTGAATTAGCACACTACAAAACATACAGCTTACATCATCAAAAACACCAACAAAAATCCCTCCTAAGCTAAACCCTCCCCCCTTTGGAGTCAGAGACTCCAGCTTAGTTGAACTCTCTTAAATGTCTGTGTGGACAGGAATGAGTTAAAAAGTTCTCCTCCTGAGAGTCAGTCTGGTCCTGACTGGCAGGGTCTCCCTGACTCTCAAATGGAAACAATGTTTATGTTTAGAACATTTGTGTTTATCAAAAAGTCAGAACCCCCCTCCACACACACACCCCTTTGAAATGGCTGTTCCCAAATTTAATATTAGAGTCTTGGATGCCCAGATTACTTCCAAATTTTAAAAGGTCATTGGGACTAACCATTCTATTTCAAGAGAAGCAGGTTTGGTGTTTCCATTGTATTTGGTCTGTTTTAAATCTGCAAACAGAAAAGGTTGCTGGTGTCTTCAAGGAAGGGAATAGTTTTATTTTTAAAAATCATTACTTGCAAACCCGTTGCCAAAACATCCCCATATTTGGCACAGAGCAAAATTAGACTGTCTGCTACATCTGTGCCTAATTTGGTAATGAACCAAGGCCCAGTTTCAAAGTTATACCGTTTTGTTTGGGCTGTCTCCCTCATTTTTTGAGTTGTCTTATGTCATGCCAAACTGTGCTGCTGTGCAATATCTTTTCCTGCATTTTCGTGCAGCAATCATGCAGCTGTGGAACATGATTCATCCAGACAAGGAGAAAGGTGTGA